GGTCCATGTCCTTCTGCTGTTGGACCCCCCGAGCTGGAGGCAGCACTGCAGGGGGGTCTCCCCAGAGCGGAGCGCAGCAGAGGGGCACAATCCCCCCTCGCCCTGCTGGCCACGCTGCTGGGGATGCAGCCCAGGGTGCGGGGGGCTTTCTGGGCTGCCAGCGCACATTGCCATGTCATGTTGAGCTTCTCATCAACCAACACCCTGAGCCTTTAGCAGCTGTGTGTCCTGTCCTTCAGCAACTGGAACGGGGACAGGCTGGGCACCCAGATAGCTCCCTGAGCTCTCCCTCTGCTGCTGATCAGCGCTTTTCAGCTTGGACCAGCCTCAAGCTGGAGCATGGTGCTGTATTCTTCAGCTGCCACTGTGTGACCTGCCGAAAGCGTCTGAAGTTGATCTTGCCATCAACCAAGTCTAAAAACCTGACAAATAAAAGCTATATGCTGCACTACATCACACAGGAAATCCAAAACTTAATTGAGGATGTGGGGATGTGGCTACATGCTGTACAAGAGAAACAGGATCCACTCAGGCAAATGCTTTTTCACCTGCGCTGGGCTTTATTTGTGAGGATCCTCCCTACCCTTCAGGAAAGCTTTCTGTCCATACAGTCTGTGCACCAGAACAAGATTTTACACAGTTTGGCACATGTTTTTAAGGTAATTATTACTGCTCTTTAGCATGATATGTAGCAAAAAGGCATTTGAGAACTCAGCACTTTCAATAGTTAAGATCTCAAATTAGTCACTAATAAACTGTGCACGTCAGTCCTTGTAGCTCACATTTACCAATCCTGCAGAGAGTGTGTGAGAAGCTGGTGAGAGAGCACCACCTACTTTTGAAACATTTTTATGTACAGTCATATTAGTTTCCCTAAATGAACAAAAAGGACGGTAAACAGGAAGAGAATGTAAATGGCATAACTTAGTAAAGCAAATAAAGGCTTCATTGTCTGAGGAACCCCACTGCTGTGACCCTGAAGAGTCCCTGCATCTTACCTTGGAGAGCCAGGAGGTAACATAGCTTGTCTTACGAGCCTTTAAAATGTGAATTTGTCCCAGCGCAAGATGTTTTCAAAGGTGGGTTCTTAATTTTTAAGTTAGTGACTTAAGTAACCGTGGGATGGAAATGTGTCATCGAAGAGGAAGAAGTGTGATGGTCTGAGCAAAACAGACTCAATCTCAGTGCTCAGCCTGCAGAAAGTTGGTAGAAATCTTCACCCTGTAACCACCCCTA